TATCATTGGTATAAACAATTAGTTAACTCGTGAATTATGATTTTATGGATTACGATATCTGGCAGTAAATAATAGTCAACAATGTTCAGGCAAAACACAAATACACAATAGAAGAAGGGGTGGGGGGACTACAGTGTTATTTTATTTGTATGATGTGTTTCTATTGAACACATAGTGAAACCATAGGAAGATATGCATGCACATGATCTAGCATTATTCCAATAATAACATATACTTTAATTAATATATATATATATTTTTTTTTTTCTCCATAATCCTGATGGATTCTTTATATTAGACCTTATTCACCCGGGCGTTAATATCTGAATATCTTGGGACCAATAGTGTGTTTCTTGGGGGAAATCCTCCTGATTTACCGGAGTGAGCTCTCCCAGAGTGATTTTCATAAGCATGGCTCCCTGCCATGTAGTTTCATCCATTCCACTCATCTGGATGCCATCACAGGCATATGGGCACTATATTGTGTCGACTGTGCGGCCGTGTTGTGTATTCAGCATTTTGCAAGTGTAGTGTGCATGAGTCCCTCTGGGCTGCATACCTCTGACACCCTCAGAGTGTGTAGTCAGCCACACATGCAGATGTACTTTCTAGGCACACGCACTCTTTTTTATAAATTTAAGTCAGCCGTGCGAGAGCCCTACATCTGCCTTAAATCATAACTGATCAGTCTCCCCAATCAACCATTCTGGCCCGGTCCATTTCCTGACCCAGCTCCTCGTCTCTCTCCTCGCTATTAGTCAAAGCCTTCTTTTTAAACAATCCTTCTCCAAACACTACTGCTGCCAGGTTTTTCAGCCGGCGTAGATTTAGCTGCCTTGTCAGTAGCGCTGCTGTCCTAATCTCTATCACAGCCTCAACTCTGGCCTCAAGGAACGATCAGACAGAGAAAAAGGGAGAGAAGTAGATATTGTGCCAGAATCGCCTCTTTTTTCCCCTCATATAAGCGAATGTGTAACGTGGCAAAGGCCCAGTGCAGACCTACCCGCAAGATGTTTATGACTAAAAAGCTGCAGCCCTCCCATGGTCCTTTGAAAGAGAAAGAGTTGGGTGGGAGTAGGGGGTGAGAGAGGGGAGGCAGGCAGACTTGGCACAACACTCCTTTTAGTGTTCTGAATGTGCCAGGGTCCCTTTCACCTCCCTCCAGCCCCTATGTACCTTTATTTTCTTTGTCTTTTCATCTTTGATATCGTTTTTTTACTTCCTCCTAATGGCTAGTGGCTTGTCATAAAGTAGGCTAATTTATGAAAGCTCTGCAGTGCTGGTCTGAGATTTTAAGGATCACATTAGGAGCATGTGCTTACATCTGGGTAGTATAAAGCGTGTGATTATTCTCTCAGCTTTGAGTCAGTACTGTACTGCCTTACTTTATATACACCAGGTTTCTTAGGTTACAAGGATGCTGAAAACGACAAGATTTAAAAAATGTTTTTCATGTTTCTGCAGTGGTTTTAGTGATACTTTTAACCCCCTTATCAGTCCAAAAGACTGTATTGTCTAAAACAATAAACTAATGTCACACTCAACTATCTTTAACTACACTATATTTTTAATTGCTATTGGATTGTGACCGAATGCATTTTTTTTACCCGAAATTTGGGAAATATTGGCAAGTAAACAGAACATGGTCCTAACTCCCTCACGCAAGTATGCAGTGCAATCATTTTGCTGAGACAATGATGTTGTTACCGGAAATCACCATCTTGGCTGAACTCTGGTGATTACATTTACAAAACAGCTTTTTCTTCATTTAAACACTTCTCTTAGTATAGCCTACTGCCATTTCATACATGTTGAAAATAAGCTCAATGTGTGAATTTTGACCATGAGTTTCACCAAAAGTAACGATCACTGCTGTTAGCTAGCTAGCAATGCTAACGTTGTCTCAGATTGAATGAGGCTTCTGAGCCATGAACAAAAGTGATACTAGCTGCTGTTAGCTAGCTAGCAACGTTATCGTCCGCACTAGCATAGCATTAGCTCAATTAACCTGATAAAATGTGGTTAAAACAGTGGCTTTTTTTCGACACTTGTATAGTTGTACATGTAGCAAACATAGAAAAATAACAATGTATTACTTAGTTTTACATTGTATGTCAATTACAAAAACCTCCCCAATACTATGGGTGGAACACAAACCTCTGCGCACATCGCTCTTTTCGTCAAAATGTGAAATGTGCATTGTGCATACATTTTTTGCTTTGTTAAAAACACTTAGTTGACTGCTCGGAAAGAGTACGTTTAAAGACTGATGTTTTTCTGACCAATCCCTCCCCCCAACTTTTTCCTTACATGGATTTTCGGCGTCGATAGATGTCGATAGATGTCTGGCCGTCGATGAGCATCCTGTCGCCCTACTCAGATTGGTGTGTCCTGCACCGTCGTGTCTTTTCAGCCGTGCCAACACCTTCCGCCGCCGCCGCCAAAAGCCGTCGGCAAAAGAAATCACTCTGATTGGCTGTTCAGCTAGCGAATCAGTGCATGAGAAGCGAAATGGAAGTGAGGGACCCAAAAAAACTATTAAGAAGGCAAATCTGAGATTTCATTTAACTCCAGCTCTCGACACAGGTTCGGGAAAGCCCCATGAGCTTCTCGCTGTAGAGTGAAAATGGAATGCACACGCTATTTGTGGTTTGTTTATATCACGCAGTCTGTTCTTCTTCTCTCGGTTATCACGCAGTCTGTCTTTTCGGTTGTTGCCTCTTTTGAATGACGAATACACACTACCACCGCCTGCTGTTAAGGAGAGTTATTGCCACTCACGCATGCGTGTACGTGCTTCTTGGCTGTCGGCTGAAGTCTTTGCGGTGTGTTCCAGTGCGACTGTTGGCCAAGACGCAGGAGACGTGAGGCGAAAAAACAATCGGGTCCGTCGGGACGTGTTCTTTGGTGTCAGTTTGGTGTGTCTGGGCCTTTACAACACTTTGACTTTGCACCAAGCGGGCGGGGGTAATTATGTGCTGGTTTGTTTTTGGGTCCAACAGTTCTTCTGAATGTTCTCCATGTTTGCCAAACACAAAGCTGTCCTAGCTATCCCAATGAATCGAGTAAATCATGACAAATTTTCCAGCTTTAATGTGTTCATGATATTATTTTGGAAAAATGGACCGGGAACGCAACCCGTTATTTTGTGCCATGACGAATTTTCTAGAGTATTGAGGTAAAGTAGTTGTTGGAGAGTACAAATCGCGAAAGAGTCGCAGCAAAAGTGCAAGGCGGCAAGATTCGGTCGGAGGATTATACGTTGTCACAGAGCAGATTCGGGGTGAAGGGTTGTAAATGACTGATTTGAGAGGTTGTAATAACCAAGTTGCAGTTGTAATGGAAAATATATTAAAAAAAATATATATATTTTTCTGCAAGTGAATATTTCATCACTAAGTTCATTTTTTTCCTACAAGCTACAACACTTTTTTTCTTCTTCTGTGACTTTAAATTTGGTTCACAGATACGTGGATATTTTATACAAGTGTAAATGTATGTACACAAGCTCAGATTTTTATCCTGCAAGTGCTCCCATCAGGTTTTACAAGCTCTCGCATTTTGCACCATATCTACCTTCATAGTTGCAGGGCTGATGGGAAACAGATGGAACTAATAAGGCCAGGACAGACAATCTAAACAGGTGGGAAAACAAACAAAGACAGGAAGTAAAAGCAGACATGACACAGATTGAGGGAACTTTCAAATAAAATAGGAAACAGATAAACTAATGGGATCATGACCGATCACGACACCATAAATAAGCCCTACAGCCGTACAGGACATAAATAATGAATAGAAGCTCAAAACTATTAATACTACTATTAACTTGATAAAAACCATACAGAACAACATTGATAATGTATATTATTATGGGTTAAGAATTGGGTAAAATGGGGAAATCAGTTCAATCATAGCGCTCTTAAAAGCCTCAATTTGGTAGCCATTTAATATTGTAGCAATGTAGTTTTTAAGACAAATCAATTCACTCAACACGCTTAACTCCAGTGAAGAAGAATCTGCCAGTAAGAATACTATATTATAATAAAAGGGAATAATGGGTAGTCCAGGAAGCAGTCAGTAGTATGTAGGTTATATGTTACTAAAAACAGGGACGGCAGACTGTATTTTAGTGATGCTCTACGCTTTAAATGGGGATCGGTCCACACTACTTGGGCTATCTCATAGTTAAACCAGTCAAATAAAGTCAGATTTACCACCATAAACATATACTAGAGCAAAATTCTCATTGTCCACGACACAGCAAGGTCATTGCTGAAACACGTCTCACATATTTCCAATCTTACTCAGACGTACACACACTCACACACAGGAGCAGCCCATCCACACCCCGGCGGCCTGCAAGCTCTCAGATATATAATTTTCTTCAAATGCACCTTTTCAGACTAGTTTGCCTGTATCCTCAGTGCCCTTTTTCAATCTGAGCTGCCGACTCATCCTGTCGCGTCCCGTCTTTCACAAATCACACGGCGGCGGGGCCGTGCTCGGAGAGGGACAATTTGTCAGCTGTATGCATGACTAAGCAACGGATTCACCATCCATTACACTGACCGGACAGAGGAGAGGGGGAGGAGAGGGGATGGAGGAATTGCATGTGTGAATGTGTCTGTTTGTTCATGCAATCCTATCCTCCGATTTAAGACCTTCAGAGAGAGGTCATTTCTGCAAAGTGACCATATTCCTGCTCTTCGTCATTTGCACAACTACAATGGTTTGCTCAATGATGAATGGTTTTAGGGTTAATTAAATGTACCAAGGTTTGGGGGAATTGTCCCAATGGTCAACTTACGTATTGAAGCATTATGAAGAAAACATATATTTATTTATCCTTGGTTGACCATAGGCTCTAGTTTGAAGACTTTTTGTTATAGCACAATCTGGGTCAAGTGATTTACTGATTAGGCATTGAACCTGTATATTGATGATTGATGATTTCTGCAGTTGCGCCATGTGTTGATTTTTTCCCCTCTGCCTTTTAGGGTTGCTGCTGCTACTGTACATCACTGTCCGCCTGTTAACCACTGGAAAACAAGACATGCTACAAAAATGGACAAGAGTCGAGAGTTCATCTCCAGATGTAGCAACGGATCCCCTATTTTTTGGTAAGTTTTTAATATCTTGTTCACATCGAGATTTGAACTCAAAGTGTTTTGAGTTTTTCAGTTATTTTTATAACGCAAAAGAAGCATGAAACTAAGTTGCAGCCAGGGAGTTAGAGTTGCAGAAAAGAGTTTAACCAAATTGGAAATCATTAAGCTAAACATCTCCTTTACTATGTGCCATTTCTGTGGAAACAGGGACTTCAACATTTATGCTAAATATATTGTGATTCACACTGGATTCCAAGCTAATTTTTCACATGGGTGATCCGATCTCTATTAAAAAACCACACATTTTAAGTTTATGTTTTTTGCCTAATTTCTTGCAGAAATACTTGCAAAAACATAATTTTTTGTTCATTTACTAATCGGTATAAGTTTCTTGTTATCTCAGCATTAGAAGTTACTGTTGAAGATACAGGATCTTTCTGTGTACGCCAGCCAGAATTGAGCTTCCAAAAAGCTCTGGCATCCCAGCAGCGACCCGCCCTGTCCCCCAGTCCACATCCATTCTCGCTGTTAACTTAATAGTCCTTCAGGGCTGCTATACAACAAGCTAACTGTTGTGTTAGCTATTGCAAGTAGCCAGCTACTGCTCAACATTTTTTTACAGAAAAGGCTTTGTTGACAAGGTACAAAAGAGGATTAGGGCCACATGTGCATTTGTGTGGGGGTGGGGGGGATTGGCGGGTCTGACCAAAAGTGATTTTTCAGAACCTTTCAGAACTTTTAGAGTTCTGAGAATAAGTCAGAATTGTGAGATTAAAGTAAGAATTTTGACTTTTCTAAAGGCCCAAATTAGTTGTGTTTACAAGTAGTACACGTATCATTTATTTTCTATTATGCTTTATAATATATACAATTTACTAACAATTTATCGCACACACATACAATATTAGTCAAAGATAAGAATTAAATGGGAAAATTATTTAAAACAATTTCTTATTTTTGTGGATTGGTTAGGGTATATGTCATTTAAAGGTCCCATGTCATGGCCATTTCCACTGATCATAATTCCATTGTTGAGGTATACTAAAATAGATTTATATTGTGCAATTTTCCAAACTCAAATTGGTTTCTCATACAGCATCTCTGTAAAGTATGTGTATTCACTTTCTGTCCTAAACGGCTTGTTGGTGCTCCTGCCGCCCCCTCCCTGTGAGCCCAGTGGCCGTCTGCGAGACAGCGAGACACAGTGAAACCCAGCCCGAAACCAGCCTGAACACACACACACACCCGCAGCCTGGCTGGGAGTTTGTGTGTGTGCTCACACACTGACTCACAGCCTTGCCGCGTCCCGCCATCTCAGGGAGGAGAAATCGGCGGAGCTGCAGCTGAGAAAAGATTGAGTGTGTGTGTGTGAGGCCTGACGGCTCCGTGGACGTAACAGCTCCACGGATTGGTCCATTTGGAACAACGGGTCCATTTGGGTATGGGCACGTCGCTGTACCCAGGAAGAAAAAGAGAAATCCCCAGCGAGGCATTCTGGGGCAGCATAGACAGGTATTTTCAGTTTAGAGTTTTACTCCCTACAGGGTGTACTTTGACGGTTTGTGACTGCAGACGGTTACATGCATAAAAACCTTCATGACACACAAGAGGACGGGTAATAACCGGAAAAGCATGACATGGGACCTTTAACATATTGCGGCCAAGTCCAGAATAGCCACCACTTCACACAGACCGCCCTTTCCCCTCGTTCCTGACTGCTTTCACACAGAATTTCTGCCGACCACTGATGAACACTGATGGAGTTATACACCTGGCCCAATTGTTTAATTTTTACTTTTTAATACCTTATTTCAAGAAGGAGTGCATAAGCTGATACAAACACATGATGTACTGAAACACTGTACATACAGCACTGTTGTCTATTCATAAACTTTCAATACATGCAAAAATACACACACATACACCTACACACTTACTCACACTGACATCTGCAGTCCTGTGTCTGTGGTAAACAAAGATCACACACACACACACACACACACACACACACACACACACACACACACACACACACACACACACACACACACACACACACACACACGTACCTCTGGTGTGAATGGCCCTTGGCCACAGGCAGAGCTTTCACAGTAAACTAACCTTGATCAATAACCTGCTATGGACCTCAGCAAAACCCACTGTTCTCCCGACTGCTGGATTTCAATATCACGCCTGTTTGAACACTCTAGCCACGGGCCAACTGTATGTGTGTGTGCGCACATATGTGTGTGTGTTTGCATGTACAAGTGCTGCCTCTGCATGAATTTACGAGAGCCTCTGAGCATGTGTGAATGTGTTTGTGGCCTTGTGTGCGTGCTCAAAGAAATCTTAGTGCATGCATTTCAGTGTGTGTGTGTGTGTCTGTCTGTCTGTCTGTCTGTCTGTCTGTCTGTCTGTCTGTCTGTCTGTGTGTGTGTGTGTGTGTGTGTGTGTGTGTGTGTGTGTGAGTGAGTGAAGCCTCGGGGTTCGCTGTGAACGGTGCTAACTGGCCCTCTGAACTCCTCCATGTGAAGAGAAAGAAAAAGCCACCGGGCATGTGCAGAGGACAGCGTGCCATTTACCTGGGCTACGGATGGTTTTTAAAACTGGCAAGAGGGACTTCCACACACACACACACACACACACACACATACACACACACACACACACACACACACACACACACACACACACACACACACACACACACACACACAAACACAGAAGATTGTCCTGCATGGCTTTTGCCTCAAACGCAAAAGCACACCTTTGCTCCCTCGCCTCAAACACAAACACACTTCAAAAGTTTTTTTCTTCCCTTTTTTATTTTTGGAAGCGATAAAGGCAGTACTACCCCTGCGTTTAAGAATCCTAACCGATCTCTTCATGTGCCCTTTTCTCGCTTCCTGCAGAAAAAAAGAACGCCCCTCCGCGCCAAAAAAACTGCTTGTTTACATCCAGCGCTACGACTCGCAAGACAACCTTTTGGCTCTCCAAGGTGTCTGTCTGCAATGCTTTTTACATACGGTGAAGTGCATACGGCCCCTGCTCCTACTGGAACTGGGCTTTTAAAAGAGTTTGATGCTCAGAAAACTCAATGCTGAACCCCGGATGTCAAACAATACGGATGAGCATCACAGAACAGCACCTATGTGTCACAGTTGTAATGCTTTTGTCATGGTCTGTTTTCCTGTTTTATTTTGAAGTTTCACGATCTGTCTGTGTTTTCCAGTTTTTGTTCGTAAAGTGTTCACTCCCAGTTTGATGTCTGTTTTTACTTCCTGTCTCTGTGTTTTCCCTCCTGTTTGGTTACCTGGTAACCTTGTGTTTGTCTTTACTCCCCAGCTCTGTCTTGTCTTCGTGATTAGTCTTTCATGTATTTAAGTTATGGTTTTCTGTTGGCATTTGTTGGAGCTTTGATTTTACACATGGGGGAGTTCTGGTCTGTTTGCTCTTTTTGTTTTTGAATAAATGTGTTTTTTCTGTTAAAACCGTTGTCCATCCTACATTTGGGTCCAACCTGCTCTGCTCCACCATGACAAGTGTAATCAAAGCCATCTTTTTCTACATTTTCACACGAGTAGTGGATAAAAACTCATCTGAACCTGAGTGTGTGTGTGTTCATTTATCTTAATGTACCTGGCTTGTGTGTTTGAGCTGTGGTTGAATACAGCTGACCCAGATGTGTTAAGTGGGTCAGGGGAACACCACCGCCCACACAGTGGGGGTTCTGGGTAGGCGGGAGTTTTCTAGTGTGTCTGTGTGTGTGTGTGTGTGTGTGTGTGTGTGTGTGTGTGTGTGTGTGTGTGTGTGTGTGTGTGTGTGTGTGTGTGTGTGTGTGTGTGTGTGTGTGTGTGTGTGTGTGTGTGTGTGTGTGGATGGGGTTAGGACACTGGGGCAGTGCCCTGATTATACTCAGATTAGTTTTGGGAGTTCATCGCTCCTCCTCCTGAGCTTTCCCCCCCCCCACCATCTCTATCCCCCTCTGCTTTTCCTCTTTCCCCTCTGTTCTTCTTCCTTCCTCTCTCCATCCCTCTCTTCTTAGCTTTAACACAATATGATCCATTTATTTATGTGTCTTTTAGTGAAAATGGTAGCATATTGTCACATTTTGCTCTGAATAAAAATGTAGTGTACTGAATCCCCTTAATGTCAATATCCCCTCTTTTTATATTCTCTTTGATTAAACCTATTTTATTAAAGTGGGTTTTGTCTGTTGGGATTTCCCCCACTATTCAACTCTCTAAATAATAAAAATAAAAATAAAGTTTGGTAACAAATCGTTTTAGGCAATATACCTAAACAATGCTGTTACCAAGACTAAAAAGGCTGTACATTGTATCACTAATGATACCACTTTCTTACTCTAATAAGAAATCAAATAGGAGATGCACAATTATACAACATTTTAAAGATCATAGCCTTCTTAGAAATCAAATCTGGTGGTTTTATGGTCATTTTGCTTGAAATTGTCGCCGAGTGCACATTATTTGCTCGTTCTCAGGCAGAAAACCAGACGAAACAGCTTAGTGCAAAATATTAATAAGTCGTCAAATCTGTGGATACAATTCCAGTTTCGTCTACTAATACTATAGCGCTTCAAGTTGAAAACATTTCCCAAAAAGTGCTGGTGACGTCACTGTAGAGATTGGAGGACAGGAAACTATTAAAACAAAGACAGAAAAGCCCATTTGTTGGAATGAATCGCCTGGCGGACACTGAATGTTGTTTCTTGGTGAGTGTTGAACTTGGACTGTCACAGCATGAAACAAAAATAAAAAGACGCTATGTGGACACAGGGCCTTCCTCTTCTTTGTTTGATCTGTTGACTACCTGATTAGTGACTGGTTATCGTCTCTTGTCTCTCTACTTCCCCAGTGTGAGTGGAAGTGGGGCATAGAGCCTGGGCGGAGGGCTGGGAGGAGAGATGGCTGACGGGGAGGCATGCTGACTGGAGGAGTGCCAGCCGCTCTCACCCAGGTAAGGATCCATGCCAACTGTGCCTGGCTCTATCTGTCTCTCTGAACCAGTGGCCGTCATGCTTACTGACATTCAAAGTTTGTTATCCATAGTAAAGATTCACTACTCTGTTTCCACCCGTCTGGCGGTAATTTGTCATCTGTTTGAGATGTAACTATACTTTTATTTTGGTAAATCATCACAATAATGAAGAAAGAACGGCCGAATGCAGGTTGGAGCATTATTGGACCTGTGTGGGTTTGTGTGTGTATGTATGAAAAATAAGAATTATATCAAGGTAATTTCTAAGGATTTAAATGATTATCAATGTTTTGAATATTTCCTATTTCACCTGGTCAAATAACTGCCAATTCCTATTCCTGTTTGGCTCATTCAAATGCTTTTGACCACAATTTAATGATGGTTTAAAAATGCTAAAATCCCAAAGTTCCCCCCTCCTGAAACGCCTCCATTGGACTCTTTGTATATGCTGTCTTAACATAATGGCATCAATAAGTAACACCTTCGCTTCTATTGGCCAGCGCTTCCGGGATCTCTAGCTTTTGTCCAATGTTGACAGAGCCAATTCTAACTTTTATGCTTAGTTTTATGCATCAATGTCCATATGACATTAAGAAGTTACTCACGTTATTTTCGGTCACGTCAAATAGTCTCATCTGTGAATGAGGACGTGTGTGTGTTGTGTCATGTGTTTTGAATATTGCCTGCACCACTCTATTTGTAATCTCCTTGATGACAATAAGCTAGTTTTAATGTGTACATTTGACCATTTATGTGTTTCAACATATGTCAACAGTAGGTTGCTCTTGTAATGGCCTCCAAACTGAAATGACAGAGATATATATTCAAATAAATATCTATTTAAATGTTATCTTTTCCGTTCTTGTACGGGAAAACTGGGCACTGGACCCGACATCTGGTGAAAATGTAAGACACAGCCTGCCAGACAAAGTGTATCCTGTGGTCAACGGGAATTTGTTTTCTGTAGGCACATTGTTTTCCAAAAGCTCCCTTTGTCTTGCCCTTTAAAGCGTTGTTGCTTAAAAGTGGAAAACCGACCTAAAAAGTAGGTATATTCCAAATTATGAAGTTGATTATGAAGCCCTTTGAGCACTATCAGTGTGTTTTCTCAGTGCAGTGCATCACTTAATGTTACTACCCACATGCTGTCTGTGTGCCCAGAGTGCCGAAGGACAGTGGCTGTAACGGGCTCCCAGACAGATTGAGAACATCAGGTGTTTTAATTCAACCGTTGTCAGCCTGTTAAACACGGCTGCTCGGGCCAAACTGGCCCTCGGCTACACTCTAATGTTTATATGTGTAAGAATGAGCCAAACACATCCCCTCAACACACAGGTCAAAAGCTATGAACTCAAGAGTGGGCAAGTGCCAGAGACACGGCGGGCCTGCCAACTGCTACAAGCCTGTGGCCAGACGGCGAGCAGACCGGGGTCAGGAGCAGCCAAGTGGTGTCCAGTGAGGGATAGCCCGGTTTAATGTTGGCCAAACAACGCCCCCAGGCTGGCTGGACTCACTCAACATGACTGCTGTGTGTGTGTGTGTGTGTGTGTGTGTGTGTGTGTGTGTGTGTGTGTGTGTGTGTGTGTGTGTGTGTGTGTGTGTGTGTGTGTGTGTGTGTGTCGACAGAAAGAGAATGCTAAGCCTGTCCTCTGTGGGTTTGCTTTGCTGTTTACTGGCCAGAGCAGGATGAGAGGATGATATCCCTTTCCTAAATGCCCATGTGCTAAATTCTGTTTGTTCTATATCAACAAAGGTTATAATTTATTAAAAAAGTATAATATTATGACTTTCCATTTAAAGTAATTTAATGTTATTTTGAATTGCAATCAATCCTTTTTTTTATTTTATTTTACCATGATGTTTTTATTATTATTCTTTATTAGTGATTATTCTATTGTTTTAATAAATGTTTCATTTGTTTTTCTTCATTTTTTTATTATCTTTAGTTTTACCTATTTGGTTCAGTTGAAAATATACAAGGTATCATTTGTGATATGACTTTGTATGTTTTAAAAAAAAATTATGTTGGATTATTTATTGTTTCATAGAACATTGTTTTATTATTATAACTTTGCATTATTTAGTTATTTTAATGTTAATTTAACATAAAACCATGAGATCCTGATAGCTCATTTGGAGCAGTGGGTGGGCATTAGGGGCAAAGCCCTCAAATGGTTTAGGTCGTATCTGACTGGTAGGACTTTCTGCGTCAGCCTTGGGGACTGAGTCCTTGTCTGCTCCTCTCCTTTGTGGGGTTGCACAAGGCTCAGTGTTAGGCCCCCTGTTATTCTCCCTGTATTTGCTCCCTCTTGGGTCCATTCTTAGGAAGCCAAATATATGTGCCACTTAAAAAGAACGACTCACACTCAATTAAACCACTGTTAAACTGCCTTGAAGACATTAAGTCATGGATGCAACTTTTAAAAATTAAATGATGACAAAACCGAAGTTATGTTTTTTTGTGCCCCTAGGATCCTTGGGCCACTCCACCAGGCCTACCATCACAAATCTTGGGATAAAGATGGACCCTGAACTCATGGACAGCCAGATCAAGGCAGTTGTTAAAAACAGCTTCTTCCACCTCAGGCAGCTAGCCAAAATAAAGCCTTTCATAAATAGTGACCTTTTTGAAACAGTAGCCTTTGTCACCTCCCGCTTGGATTATTGTAATGCACTATATATTGGGATAAGTGCGTCCTCCCTTGCTCGCCTGCAGATGGTGCAAAATGATGCAGCACGGCTCTTAACTGGCACACGCAAACACGAGCACATTTCCCCCATTTTAGCTTCACTCCACTGGCTGCCCGTTCATTCAAGGATTCCTTTTAAAAGTATTTTATTTGCTTTTAAAGCCCTCAATGGCCCCACCCTACCTCTCTGAGCTGTTACACAGCTACACGCCCACTCGCACTCTCAGGTCAGCTGATCAGTTGCTCCTGAGGGTGCCAAAAACCAAGTCTAAGCGCAGAGGGGATCGTGCTTTCTCTGCTGCCGCCCCTAAACTGTGGAACGACCTGCCCTTGCTAATCAGACAGGCTCCCACACTGTCTGTTTTTAAATCCTGTCTTAAAACCATAGACTAAACCCACTTTTTCTCCTTAGCATTCGTAAACAAGTAGATTGTTTCTTTTATTTGCTTTCAGTGTTGTTTTTACTATATGGTTGTTTTTATGTTTTTACTTTATAATTGTTATATTTATTCTGGTTTGTTTTGTGTTCGTATCTTTTATGTGATTCTATACTTATTTTTATGTTTTGTGAGCTGAGCTGTGTGATTTTATATTTTATGTATCTCTCTGTACAGCACTTAGGTCTGGAGGTTTTAAAGTGCTATATAATCAATCAATCAATCAATCAATCAATCAATCAATCAATCAATCAATGTTTATTTATATAGCCCAATATCACAAATGTTACATTTGTCTCAGTGGTCTTCACAGTGTGTACAGAATATCAGTATGACAACACGACACCCTCTGTCCTTTGACCCTGACATCGTACAAGGAAAAACTTCCAGACAAAACCCCACAGTTTAAAGGGGAAAATGGGAGAAACCTCAGGGAGAGCAACAGAGGAGGGATCCCTCTCCCAGGACGGACAGACGTGCAATAGATGCCGTGTGTAAATCGAAAAGATAATACATTCACAACATAGGTAGTCCAAGTGTTTGGAAATGCATGTGTGTATAATAAGAAGATGAATCCACGAGGATGTCAGCAATCTTGTGGGAGCCATCAGGGAAGTAGTATGGTGAGAGTCTGGCAGGACCGCAGAGACAGGTTCAGCCACGACTCAAAGTCCAGGACTCAGATCCAGTGTTCAGGATAGAGAATCCAGGACACACGACCACAGCAACAAGATTAGCTTTGACTCAGGATCCCGGCGTATATACTGTATGGATACAAAAAAGAGATTTGGGGGAAGCTGGGTTAATCGGAACATGAGAGTACACAGGTACAAACAGCCAGAAAGACGGAGTAGGTGCCCCCCCCAACAGTCCAAGCCTATAGCAGCTAAACTAACGTGTCTACATACATGCACTCCCTTAGGATAGGTTGAGGGAAAAGGGTAGCAAGTAACAAGTAGGAAACAGAGGTGGAGAGGCACACACAGGGAAAAAGGTCCCCATTTGAACCTGAATTTGTCAGAGGTAGGAGTGGGTCAGTGACTACGCTCAACACCCCCCGGCCGGGCTAGGCGTTCTCTGCAACCTATTACCCTCTAATAAACCTCGAGAGGTCATAGAGGGGAAAGGTTTGGATAAAGTTTTAAATATAAGATCTAAGTTTTTAGGATTTAAGTGAAAGAGTAAGAACTAAAATGTATAGGTGAAGAGACACAACGTATCTACATCAATGCACTCTTATTAGATTATTTTATTTTATCACTATAAGCTTTATCAAAAAGGAAGGTCTTAAGCGTACTCTTAACTGCCCGACGACAAACTGGAAGCTGATTCTTTGGGCCGAGTACAATAACTTCAGTTTTGGTCGAGTTTAACATTAAACAGCTTAAGGTCATCCACGTTTTTAAGTCCTTGAGGCAGTCTTGAATTTTATTTAGGTGATTGGTTTCATCAGGCTTGATGGATAAATATAGTTGAGTATCATCCGCATAACAGTGGAAATTTACAGAATGATTCCTTATTATATTGCCTAGCGGAAGCATAATTATATAGTGTGAACAAAATAGGTCCAAGCAGATGAGCCCTGTGGCACTCCATGGCTAACTTTGGTTGGCATGGAAGATTCATCGTTCAATCAATCAATCAAGCAATGTTTATTTATATAGCCCGATATCACAAATGTTACATTTGTCTCAGTGGACTTCACAGTTTGTACAGAATATCAGTATGACAATACGACACCCTCTTTCCTTACACCCTCACATCGTACAAGGAAAAACTTCCGGAGAAAACCCCACAGTTTAAAGGGAAAAATGGGAGAAACCTCAGGGAGAGCAACAGAGGAGGGATCCCTCTCCCAGGACGGACAGACGTGCAATAGATGCCGTGTGTAAATTGAAAAGATAATACATTTGCAACATAGGTAGTCCAAATGTTTGGAAATGCATGTGTGCATAATAGGAGGATGAATCCACGAGGATATCCATCCAGGACTTATGATCCAGGACCACAGCCACGACTCAAGATCCAGGACTCGCAATCCATGACAGAGGACCGCAGGATCATCCATGACTCCGGATCCCGGCGTATAAAGACACCAAAAAGAAAGACATTTGGGGAAGCTGGGTTAATCGGAACATGAGAGTACACAGGTATAGACAGAGAGAAGGAAGAAGTAAGATGTCCCCCGACAAACTAAGTTGTCACTTCCTTTCTCGTTGCAGCTGTTTTGCTTCTGAAATGTTTCTCTGTGATCAATTGAAGTATTCTCCTGGTTGGTACCTGTCTCTTTGAGCTACATTATGTGAAGGCCAGAAAAGCCCCTGAAACTTCTATAAACCTTGACAACTATTATTTTAATGCTGTCGTAAATAGCTTTGCAATATATACTTCCACCTTTAACTCCCGGCTGTTTTTAAACTGGTTTCATTTAGTCATTCTAGTTATATTGGTCTCTTTGTAGCAATTTTGTAATTTTCGAATATTTGTATGTTTCCTTCTTAATTATACCGAGCTATCTTTGGCTCGTTGCTGTAACTGTGCACATTTCCCCTCTGACGGATGACTAAAGGAACTCTGGAACTCCTAAATCTCACAGTTGTTGAAAAGTCACATCCAGGAAGTCAGATTGAAACCCTCAGGAACCAGATTCATTCAAGACAAATGGTGAGAAACTGCAGATCGTATGACTGTAAACACGTTGTTTATGTTAGTTCACATCTGTGCTCGTAAGGCTCGGTAAATATTTGGTTCTTTTTGGAAAAAAACCCAGTCTGTGACACTTGATTTGTAAGAAATGATGCGTTACCTCCATCGGAGATCCAGATGTTTGTACAGTGAACTAAACCACTGGAAAAACACACTAATTCTTTCTGAAGAATAAACATTTTGATCTGATCTAATTTCCGGTCTCTTTGAAGCTGCATCACGTTTATCTCAGCTGAGGTCTCTTTGAAGCAGTTCTGCTTTGTTTCTTATTAGTTTTGTGTTTTGCAGTAATTTTCGTAATTTTTGGTGATTTATTTTCTCCTTGTTGACATTTTCTGTGTCTTTGCAGCTGTTTTGCATCTCGTATCAGCCTTCACAGTTTTTCTCGATTGCTAACACACGTTTTTTTTTTAATTGCTCAGTTTCTCAGAACGACGTTTTG